AAAAAACTAATCAAGTTTTCATTGCTTTCATTCTAGTACATGAGAAATGCGTTCTGAACTGCAGGCCTAAAGGTGTTAACCTGTTAAAGCGCTGGGCAGATAAAGTGGTGGACGGAACAACATGCACTTTGGACTCGTATGACATTTGTGTGGATGGAAGATGCGAGGTATGAGTGACAGAATTTAGTTGGGACTTGATGCACTGGAGCGTAATAGGCCATTTACAAGTTACCTATTGCCTCCGTTTCAAAACGGGTCCGCGTGCAAAACCTTTCATTTGAAAATGGAGTTTGACTTGCATGAAAATGAACATGAAAGGGGAACACATTTTCATTTGAATGGTTTCTCACGAAGACTGGTTTTGACACAGAGGCAAAAGGCAACTGGGAAATGGCCTATTTCTGCGACCATCAAGTGCTGAAAAGTTATGGGCCAAATCAAATGGCACCTTTCCAGAATCATCTTAGAAGCAGTTTCTTGCTTATCATCCAATCGAACTACAGTGTAAATATGCAATTAATGAAATGCTCACATGAAGGCAGTTGTGATGTAAGCATCCCTTATGCAGTTGATTCCAGGTCATTTTAAGGACCTTTAAGCGCGGTCGATTGAACTTTTCATCGATCCAAAAAAATATATATTTTCAAAAGTAAATTGGTCGTGTTAACGAGGTATCAAATGCGTGGAACGAGCTTCCAATACACGCGTGTTCGGCGTACAAATACAGCGCCCTCTAAAATGCAAATCAAGGATTAATTTGAGTATGCTTTTCTCTTGTAGAAACTCGGTTGCGATCTTATTTTGAATTCCAATGCAAAAGAGGATAAGTGTCGAGTTTGCAATGGTAATGGAGATACCTGCAGAACCCATAGCGGAGTCAATACGGAGGAAGGCGATGGTGAGTTCGCTTCTACAAAATTTCAACCTCAAGCCATGCAAGTCTTGCAAAAAATCTAAGATTTCTAGTTTTTGTTAAGTTGCCACGCCTTGACCTAGTGAGGTGTATCTTGAGCTTTGGATCAAGCACGCCGCCTTCGAATTAAGTCATTATGTTGTGTTTTTGTCCAAGGAATTTCCTGTACCTCTTTCTAGCCATGTGTAGAATGGAAACAGGCGAACGGCCAGTTTAAACTACCGGGATACTCTTGGTCCAACTTGCGCTGGAGAGTAGCCTCCACCCGAGTTAATTACCGGCTTTTAGCTGCAGGAATTGGAGTTGATAAGCTCTCTCGAGACTGACTTCTCTCATCTTTATGACCGGGACAGACTTGACCTTTTGTTATTTTTACCTGTAGTGTATCTGTTTAAACGAAGGCTAACCAGGCTTTTACTTGAGCATCGCCGGAAAGTAATTCGCATTTAGTTTGTTTTGTTTTAGTACGCAAAGCGATTGGTTTAAAAAATTCGCGCCACTTTCCGTTTTCCCGCGCTTCGTATTAGCCACCCGTCTTTGTTTTAAGTTTTGATTGGTTCACTCTATTGTCTGTGTCCTTTGTGCTTGGCCAGAGTGATTACTCTGGTTTTGGTTTTACGACGCTCAAGTGAAATCTGCTGTATGGTTCGTATATTGATCTTTTTTTTTTCTTTTCGTTTCAGGATACAAAGAAATTGTGGTGATTCCTGCCAGTGCGACGAATATCAACATCCAAGAAACAGCGCCCTCGTCACATTTCCTGGGTACGACGTACTCGATTTATTTTAGATGAAGTAAAACACATTGCCTGAAGAGTAGATATCTTGTTAAAAACTAAATTTCAAAACAGGCTGACGTAGACTTGAGTGGCATTTAAAAGGAAAGTAACACTTTTTCATAGTTCGAATCGACATTTTTCATAGTTCGAATCGACCAGTAAGTATATGAAATCAACTACTTGAAAGAAAATCTCCATTTCTTGTTTAGACTAAATGACGCGATTACATTGTTGAAAGTATTTTAAAGACGAAGGAAATTGAGAAATTTCAAATCGTTTTGAAGAGCAATGATTTAAAAATAAAACAAAACAAAATTCTCGTGATATATTATGTAGCGGACAAACTGAGTGACTGTGGTCTGTGATGAACAGCTGATTTGGTATCCTTATACGTCAGGCTCTTGAAATGCTCAGTGTCTGGAAGGAAGACAGACGTCCTAATGTTATTTTGTTTGTATATCTTTTAATTCTTTAATTTTGTTTTTATTATTCAGCTCTTTCTGACTCATTCAGAAATTACTTCTTAAACGGTGACTACGTCATTACAAACCCCGCGAAGCACAAAATAGCTGGCACCGTGTTTACTTACGAGCGAACCAGGTTTGGACAAGAGAGAATATTTTCTTTGGGGCCTACAGCTGTTCCTGTGCACGTTGAGGTACACGCTAAGCACGTTCCGTCCCAAGTTATAAGCATAAACGTTCTAGACTTTTGAAGAAAGTTTTTTCATTGTGTAACATATTGGCACGTGGGAATTAGCACCTATTGTATATTATATTTTGTGTACGCATATTTAAGTAGGATAGCACATTATGCAAATCTAGAAAGCACACACATCCACGCGGCGTGTATGAACAAGCAGAATAAACCTATTCGACAACACACTACATGGTGGTTACATGGTTAATGTTATGTTTGTGTGTCTGTTAATGTTATGTTTGTGTGTATGTTGACCGGTATGGTTAGTCCGTGTGTATGTTGGTATTTGTTGGCCATATTGTACCCCCTCCCCCCCACGGCAAACCACAGTACTAACATTTAGCTAGCAATAATCAACAATAAACCTAGATAATAACACAATATTATGTACATAACAATATTCTAGGATAAACCTAATTACGGAGAATATCATCAACAGTAAAAGAAAATGTTCCCTTCAGTAGATTTAATTTAAATATGTAGCTTTTTAGTTATTATTATAATTGATATCTGCTTGCGACTTATCTTAAAACATTTCTGATGGGTATAATAAATCTGTTGTTGTTAAGGGGCCTTTCCAGATCCCGTCATTTTCCGGCCCCAAATCTCGCATGAGATGACCGCCTATTTGAAAGTAAAAATGCCTGCTACGAAACGAAAGATTCATTCGTTCCGTAATTTGATGCGAGGGCCTTGTGCGGAGCAGCGTCATATGTTTCGATGTAGTTCGTATCTCGTTCATTATATGGATCTACTTCATCGTATACGAACAGGTCCCTTGTCGGGGAATTTAGGCGAAAATTCTTAAGGGAGAAGTTCATGTGACTTTTTTTGACAGGTTCTTTTGCTGGGAGATAAGAAGAATCCTGGTATTTCGTACGAGTATTCGGTACCAACATCAGTGACGACACTTCCTGGACGCACTCAGTTTTCCTGGCGGACTGACGAGTTTGAAAAGTGCAGCGCATCGTGCGCTGGAGGTATGAATCTGTTACAATGNGGTTAGTCCGTGTGTATGTTGGTATTTGTTGGCCATATTGTACCCCCTCCCCCCCACGGCAAACCACAGTACTAACATTTAGCTAGCAATAATCAACAATAAACCTAGATAATAACAATATTATGTACACAACAATATTTTAGGATAAACCTAATTACGGAGAATATCATCAACAGTAAAAGAAAATGTTCCTTTCAGTAGACTTAATTTAAATATGTAGTTTTTTAGTTATTATTATAACTGATATCTGCTTGTGACTTATCTTAAAACGTTTCTGGTGGGTATAATAAATCTGTTGTTGTTAAGGGGCCTTCCCAGATCCCGTAATTTTCCGGCCCCAAATCTCACATGAGGTGACCGCCTATTTGAAATTAAAAATGCCTGCTACGAAACAAAAGATTCATTCGTTCTTTAATTTGATGCGAGGGCCTTGTGCGCAGCAGCTTCATATGTTTCGATCTAGTTCATATCTCGTTCATTATATCAGTGGATCTACATCATCGTACACGAATAGGTCCCTTGTCGGAGAATTTAGGCGAAAATGCTTAAGGGAGAGGGTCATGTGAATTTTTTTGACAGGTTCTTTTGCTGGGAGATGAGAAGAATCCTGGTATTTCGTACGAGTATTCGGTACCAACATCAGTGACGACACTTCCTGGACGCACTCAGTTTTCCTGGCGGACTGACGAGTTTGAAAAGTGCAGCGCATCGTGCGCTGGAGGTATGAATCTGTTACAATGGATGCTGGGAAATGCTAATGGACGGGGGGAGGACGGGTGAATGAATGGTCAGTGCGCGCGCTGGATCAGACACTCGGTCTCAGATCCACTCCTCCAGTCTGAACATTGGCCGCGATTGTAGCATTGTAGTCCCAGCTCAAATCCAGTGTTAATATTGTATGTACTGTTTGAAGATTCAGCTTTTTAAAAAATATATCAGCTTATATGCCTTCCAAATGCCTAATAAAGAACACTTGTTTACAAGTGCACTTGTGATATATCTTCCGAAGACGTCACCTTAAACTAGACCCTGTTTATCATTTTCATGGCCCGTTTATGACCGTATTAACGAGGTTCCACTGTAGTTGGAAGGGCCCCTATGGTTACCAGTCTTTGAGCCGAAAGGGCCACTATGTTAAAATAAAGTTTTACTTAATTACTGCCCCCAGTATACCTTTCTTCAGCTAAGAGCTGCCCCAATTTATAAGCAAACCTGTACTATAAACGCACGCTTAGTGGAAATGATTATTTGTGAGAAGCTGAGACCAAAATATTCGGAATGGCCTTTTAGACCCGAGTGCCTCAGTCTTAAAATTTCAATTCTCATTACTAGGAATCTACAGGTACAAACAGTTATCGTCTTTCACTGATTGTTGTCATTTAATTTGTCTACATACTTATTTTCCAGGGGAGCAAAAAAGACGTGTGTTCTGCGTTCGTGACGACAATGGAGAAGACGTTTCCGACTCAAACTGTAATGATGACGAGAAACCATCCAATAAACAAAGCTGTAATTCCCAGCCTTGTCCGGCCAGGTTAGTTTATGCCTACAGAATAGGACTGGATGGGAGGAAAGGAAATTTGGGCGGTGAAGTATACCTTGTTCACCTAGAGAAGAGGACAGGGTAGGGTCAGAGGACCGGGGTAAGGGAGGGGGGAGGGGGACCGAGAGGCGGGGAAATAGGGACACGGGGGAATGGGTGAAGTGGGGAAAAGAAGAATTTGGCATTCCTCTGTACTTTTAGAGAAAAGTATTCTGCAACTTAATTTCGCGGGTTTATTACAAAGCAATTTTCTCATGCGTGATTTAAGAAATCTGGTCCCTTTTCAGCTGGTTTGTGAGTGTCTGGAGTCCTTGCTCTGTCACATGCGGTCGCGGCAAACAGGTCAGACGGGTTCACTGTCAGCACACCGTTGAAGGCGGAGAAACCATCATGATCCCGGATGAGCGATGCCCAGGTCTCAAACCGATTTTTATGCGCGACTGCCAGATGGAAAAGAGCTGTCCTGGATGGTCAGTTGGTCAATGGTCAGAGGTAAGGAAATGAGAAGCAGATATTTCACTCGCGTACGAGAGGCGGATTTGGGAGGGAGGGGGTGGATTGTGTGGCTAGCGATCCCCCGCCCCCTCGACCCAATATAAAGATAAAATAATAAAAACGATGGTAAATATTATGACAGCACTGATAAAGGCAATCACTTTGGACAGATACCACATTGTTGCTAAATGTTAAAAAATGTTAAATGTTGAATGTTAAAAGTGGTCGATGCGCGTAGCTACAACTAGCTAGTTCTCAGGTATGCCACTTAAACTGAAAGAAACAAATATTTCAAATAAACATAACTGTAATTTCAAGTAACGTTGTCTAGATAAATAGCTGTGGGATTGCTATAATTTCTGGTGTAACAGTTTTCGGTTAGGTTCCAGTTCTTAATTGTACCATTGGGGAACAAGCCCTATTGACTCTGCAACACTAAACTACCAGTCACTCAAACCCTTGAAAAATCCTGGATCCGTCCCTGATTGTACCTCAGCTCGTCCTGCTCAACTGCTCAATGGAAGTCTGAAATTGAACCCAAAAAATACTATTCTTACAGACAATCGTTTAGTATCAAGGATACGTTGCGACTTTAAGGCTTCTAAAGATTGCGTCCCATTCGCCAGAAGTTGCCAAACCGTTGTGAGCATCTGTCGTATGAGACAATTAGCCTCAAGCAATTTTCTCCGGCCAAAGCACAAATGTTAGGGAATTTATGTTGTGTTGTACCTAATTGACAACTTACATTACTGATTCAGACCCAGTCGCGTAAAAGGTAAAAGGGGATCATCTTGTTTTCAATGTGAACTGACGAGAACGACTTTCAATTCCTCTAGAATAGAATAAGTGGCGTAGGTTTTGTCTGGCGAAGAACCTCGAAACGTCAGCTTTACAAACTTGTAACGAAGATTAATGTACGTTTGTCTACTTCAAGTTTATACTGTAGAAACTTGACTTTGTTAAATTTTACATTTGCGATGAAGCCCCATTTTCATATAGTACCTGATAAATTATTTTTTTTAAATACGATTTTTTTAAATGATACAACCATAAGGTGCGTGGAGAGGTAGCCCTTTTGGGCAGAGCCTCCCCGTATAGGCCATCATAGGAAGTCCCGCCCCCTCCCCCGTGATAAAGTGAGGTAAACACACGTCATATATGAAATAGATTGATGTTTCGCGTCACGAGCCATACCACTGTTATTATCATTAATTATTTTGCGGTACCCTTACAGTGTTCTGTGTCGTGTGGCTTGGGAACGAGAAGTCGTGACGTCACGTGCAAGACGCTGGAAACAAAACTGGTTTTGCCGTTAGAGAGCTGTAACCCTGCTTTGAAACCTAAGGAGACGGAGAAATGTAATCCAGGCCCTTGTACTGTCACATGGTTGGCGTCGAACTGGAGCGAGGTAGGATTTCAGGATTTACCTTGCTTATGAGTCGCTTAAGAGGAACCTGGGATCTTTTTGTAAACTTTCCCTTTTATTCTCTAAAAATAAATTAAAGGCTAATCAAATGGGAAAATGAAGAACAGGCAGGCTTTTGTGATCGCTAAGAGAAATGTTTAGACGCTAGCCAAGTTAAACGGCTTGCGAGAAACTTGTTTACAATATTTGCGTCATTAGAATAAGCTATTCAGCTTCTGATCAAGGTAAAAAAAAATATATCAGTAGCCGATTACTGAATAGATTTTTTGCGACGTGGGTTTAAAATCTCAACATGTATGAGCGCATTAGCGCTTTTGCCAATCAGAAATTTTGCAGTTTTTGAAAGCTAATTTCCCTTTGAATACTACACCCAAAGAGCCAAAACGTCCACCAATTACTAAGTTTTACAAGTTCTCCTACTCTGCGCATGTCGTATGTTAATGAGGTAAAATGTAAACCGTGCCGTTAGCAATAATTGCTCGCTCTATAACAATTTTTCGACGAAAAACTGCTGATTTGTTTGTTTGTTTGTTTGTTGACTTATTAGTGTTATCCAAAATGTGGCAAGGGAATGAGTACGAGGATGGTTTACTGCGTGGGCATCTCCAACAAGGAGCAGAAGTATCCGGATGAACTGTGCGATAATTCGTCTCGACCAATCAGCAAGAAGGAGTGTTTCAGTGAAGAAGTTTGCCCAGCCATGTGGCACGCGTCACAGTGGAGTAAGGTTAGAGAACGAAAAACAGTGGACACTTGAGTATGCAAGAAAAACTACCTTTCACACACTGTGTTCTTAGGTCAATGGTGACTCTCTGACTGGCCGTGTTGATTTTGATCCTCAAAGTTACGTTGCCTTACAACTGCACACTGCCAGGCTGCTCGTTATCTACAACAGA